TCAAAAGGTAAAACTTTTACTATCCATTTTGCTATTCTGCTTTTTGTCTCCTTTATATTGTTTTTCTTTAGATATTGCATTACTATGTGGTCTGTCAATAATACAAAGTGTTTATATCTCTGATAATAATGAAATTTTTCTATTGCCCATACTGCTGCATTCAATTCTAATTCTGTTGGATTGTAATTTTTCTTGGATCTTTCTATATTTTGGTTTGTATAGGATACCACATATTCTTTTTCTTCATCATCTATTTGTGCTAATGCTGCTCCAAATCCTTTTGCGGATTCATCTGTCATTAAGTAGAATGTTCTATTGAATCTGGATATCTTAATATTGGTGCTATTATTAAAGCTTGTTTTAGTATGTTAAATACTTCTTCTTGTTTCTCAATTCAAATGAAAGGTTTATTTTTCTTGACCAATTGGTTTATTGGTCTTGCTATTTGTGCAAAGTTTTTAATAAACTTTCTATAGTATGAGGCAAGTTCTAAGAAACTTTTAATTTTAGTTACAGTTGTAGGTCTTGAAAAGTCTTTTACTTTTTCTATCTTTTTGAAGTCTGGTTTTATTCCATCCTTTCCTACTACATGTCCTAAAAATGTAAGTTCTGTTTTCAAAAATTCACATTTGCTTGGTTTTACTTTTAATCCTGCTACTTTAATTCTTTGAAATACTTCTTTCAATTTTTTTAAATGTTCTTCAAATGTTTTTGAATAAATTATTATATCATCCAGGTATACCATTACTCCATTATTTATCATCCCATTTAATACTGTATTCATTAATCTTTGGAAAGTGACTGGTGCATTAGTTAATCCAAAAGGTATTATTGTGAATTCATATATTTCTTGTTTTGTAACAAATACTGTCGTTTGTTGATCTTTAGGTTCCATTTCTACTTGCCAATAACTACTTGCTAAATTTAGGGTAGTAAACCATTGCGCTTCTTCTAATGTTCCTGACATGTCATCTATTTGTGATATGGGGTGAGCATCTTTTTTAGTTACATTATTTAATTTTCTATAATCTACACAAAATCTAAGTTTTCCATCTTTTTTCTTTACTAGTACTACTGGTGAAGTCCAAGGGCTGTATGATTTCTTTATTATCCTATCTTTTAATAATCGTTGTATTTCTTCTTCAATATATTTTTGATTTGTAGGGTTTGTCCTATAATATTGCTGTCTAATTGGTTTAACATTTTCTTCTATTTCTATCCCATATCTAATAATATTAGTTCTTCCTAATTGATGTATTTCTTCTGCAAATATTTTTTCATATTGTTTTATTAATTTATTGAAATTCTCTTTTTGTTCTGGTTCTAATTCTCTTACTTTGAATTCTTTAGGTTTTACGATATATCTATTTGATGATGATTCTCTTATTTCTAGTCCCTCTTCCAAATCACTTTCTTCATCATCTATCTTATCCGAGTGTGGTCAATCCTGTTTTGATTTATAATTTCTTTGAAAAAGAACTTGTTCTTCTTCGTCATCACTTTCATAATTATCATCACTTTCATAATTATCTTCTGCTTGTTTATATGTTGCTGTAGTCTTGATACCTTGATTTCTCCAGTTAAGAGTTAATTCTTGATTTTTCCAATCATAATTAACTCCTGCTTTCATCATTCAATCATTTCCTAATAATATATGGTATGCTTCAGTTTTCATTACTTCTACATTAATTGGTATTGTTTTTCCCTCAATTTCAATAGGAAAATCTCTAATTCTTCCTAAAGATTTATTCTTTTCTCCATTCGCTTATATAATTTTACAATTAGTTGCTTCTTCTATACCATACTGTAGTTGTTCCATGGTACTTTCTGAAATTATACTAGTGGCTGCTCCACTATCTATAGTAGCTGATACTTTAAATCCATTTACTATTACTTCACATTCCAGGGTGGTTGTTTTTGTATTATTATTTTGACTTGCCAATTTTGCAACAGTTTCTTTTGGAGTTCTTAATGCTTCTTTCAATTTCTTTCTTTCTTGAGAACTAATTTTTAATAATTGTAGTAGTGTAATTTCTAATTTTTGTTCTTGTAATTTCTTTATTAAGTTAAATTCAGATCCCTTTAATAATTCTGATTGTTTTCTTTCTTTAAATAGCTTTTCAGGAGATTTTATTATTTTCTTTTTATTTGAAAATACTTGATTAAAAAAAAAAATCTCTTTCCCGAATTATTTTATAATACAAAATACACAGTAATATTATATTAAAATTGTTTTATTTTTATTTCGTTTTAATTAAAAGTTTAGAAACCTGGCATAATAAGCGATAGCTCAACCAGTGGCCCCCCAGGGAGGTCAACAAGAATCCAGTTAGCTTCACAATCAAATATACAAACACAATTAAAAAACCAAAGAAACAATCCCATTAAAAAAGTGGAAAAAACAGTGGCATCATTTATTTCAAAAGAATCAACAAATATAAAAAGTAATATTAAAAACAACAGTGATATCAAAGATATGGAAGTTACGGTCATGATAGAGCAACCCGAAGTAATAATTAACAATGACAATGATAAAGGTAAAGGAAAACAAATTGATATTGAAGAATTGACAATTGATATCGAAGAAAATAACAGGAACGAATGGACTGAAGTAACAAATAAAAAGAAAAAGGCAAAAAACATAGACAATACGGCAATAGATCCTGAAGTAATAGAAGAAGATAAAGAATCAGTATTATCATATGAGACTGATAATAGTTTTTATCCCGACTGGAGACAAGATTTCAATGCAAAAAAATTTAAAATTTGAACTCACGCTAAAAAAATTCCTGGAAAATCGACAAGCGAAAAAATTGAATTTGTAAAAAAAGCCATTAGAGCAAAAACTGAATTAACCCTAGTCAGAATAGAGAACAATAGAAAAAATAAAATGATCTCTGTATTGTTTGACAACAAAGAAAATATGCAAGCCACACTGGAAGTAAATGTAGGTACAGATGCGCAATTGCCCACCTACATGCATAGAGCACAATCGTATAAAAATAATACTTTGAATAAAAGGAAAATGGAAATTAAATTATGGGACATCCCTATTGGTGTGAAACATAATGAATTAAAAGTGAATTAGAAAATATATATGGCGAAGTGGAGCAATTAATATTACATCCAACAGGAATGTGGCAATGGGCAATCGCTGTCTTTAAAAAAGAAGAAGTAACTAAAGAACTTCTTAATCAATGGAGCATAATTATTGGTGAGGACTCACTCCGTGTTACACCTACTGATTGTAGTTATGATAATCTCATGACACGTGGTAAATTTGCTGCAAGGATGATCAATTTACCATCTGGCATCACAGCAAAAGAGATTATTCCTAACATCAAAATGATTGGTGCACTTACTTGCTATATCCCTAGGTCTCGTAATTATAGACATAGAAGCGAGGCAATTATCTCTTTTGTAAATGAAGAGACACTAGAAGCGGCAATTGGTAAAGAGTGGAAGGCAGGTGAATTCAATATTAAAGTCACAAGCCTGACAGCAAAAACATGCTACAGATGTCACTCCAAGGAACATATCGCTAAAGATTGTCCACGGTCAATAAACGAAAGGAGAATAGAAGTAACAAAAAATGAAAATTTTCTAAAATTCAAAAATATTTACAAAAGACACAATCCAAAATTATATACAAACTTAAATAAAAAATTTGGTGAAAAATCATTTGCTGAGGTACTAAAAAATAATAATAATAACAATAATGCAACGATGTATACAAACAAAAAAAAAGTAATAGTAAATGATGATGTAAAAGAAAGGTTAGACAGAATGGAACGAATTATCACACAACTAGTTGATAGATTTAATAAATTAGAGAATTTCTTACAAGACAAACTCAATCTTAATTCTGAAACTAATCAATATCATAGTGATTATAATGAACCTGAGGTTGATTCGCAAATGGATTTTGATGAACTGAACACATACAATATAGAAGGAAGCGAAGAAGTGAAAAATAAAAATGAAGATAATTTTGGTAGATTACTACAAATAGTAGAACAAGTCGGCCAACGTATGAATACACTTGAATCTAGCATACATGCGAATGAAAATAAAAAATATAATAATAATAACAATGATAATCAATATGAGAACTGGGGGGTCCCAATACGCCCGACATAATAACAGAAGAAGAAGACAAAATAAAATTACAAAATCTGAAAGATCTAAGAGAAAAAAATAATCAGGAAGAATATAACATATTTAATCCTGAAGATAATAATTCAAGTGAAGGAGAAGAGGATAGAGAACAAGAAGAATTAGAAGATTATAATATAGATTATAACAGTGCAAGTGAAGAAGAAGAAGAATCAGAAGATAATATTATAAAAATGGATCTTTTATTATTTAAACTTCAAAGATTTACTGGAGATGGAACTCAAGACCCTGAAGAATGGTTAAAAAAATTTGACAAAGTAGCAATTATTAACCAATGGAATGATGATAGAAAGAAAGAAAAACTATATGGATTCTTAGAAGAAAGAGCTGAAGAATGGTATCAGAAAACATATGTAAGAGGAGATAACAACCAATATCTCATCCTAAAAGAATTGAAAACATCTTTTAAAGAAATATTTTGCAATCAAAGATGAAAAAATAAATAGAGAAACCAACTAGAAAAATTAAAGCAAAAACCTGGAGAAGCAGTCGAAAGATACCATGCAAGATTCAAAAAGATTATAAAAAAATTAGAAGAAATAGGAGAAGAACAAAAGATACTTTACTTTACTAGAGGATTAAGAAAGGATTACTTCCAATAATAAGTTTACATGAACCTGAAAGTGTGAAAGGAATAGTTGAATTAATTCAAAGATATAAAGCAGCTGAAGATTTGGAAGAAGAAATAGAACCAGGAGATGAAGTAAAATATAAAAGAAGAATTAACAAGAAGAAAAAGAAAGTAATTTTTGAAGAAGAATCTTCTAATGATGAAGAAACACCTGTAAAGAAGACTACTAAAAAGAAAGAAGAACCAAAGGAAGATCCAATGGAACAATTGGTAAAACAATTTGAAGAATTAAAAATTAAAATAGCAAAGATTGAGAGACCCCAAAATAATGATATTGAATATTACAATTGTGAAAAGAGAGGCCATTTTAAAAAGGACTATAGAAGCTTAAGGAGAAATAACAATGATAATTATGGATTTAACAATGGAAATAATAATTTTAACTGAAATAATTATCAAAACAATAATGCAAATAATAATAATCAACAAGAAAATAGGACAAATCAAAATGAAAATGGAAGCAGGAACAATAATCAATACAATAACAGAAATCAAAATCAAAATAATAATAATCAAAATAACACTCCCATTAATTTTATAAGTATCGAAGAAACTGATGAATATAATATCAATAAAGAAACAGAAGAAATTACAACACTATTAACTGAAAACTTTGACAGTTTTGAAAATTTAAAAAGAAGAACTGTAAAACCAGAAGTAATTTATGATTATAAAACTGATCCAAAAAGAAAAAGGAGAGAGAATAAAAATTTTGGACCAGAACCAATGGAATAGACACCAAATAAAAATAAAAAGAAAATAATTTTTTTTTTTTTTAAAAGTTTTGGCAAGGCTTTGCCTCAAATTTATTAACTAAAAAAAGAGAAAGTCTCCTACATTAATATTACATAATATAAGATACACAACTTATTCTAGTAACTAACGAAAAGATGAGACTCAGACTAATTCGAATTGTCAATCCTAAGATTAACACGAAACACGCCTGCAACTTACCGCCAGATAACAACAGTTATAAACGGCTTGTTAAAGCCCTGCCGAACAGCCTATATTATATATATTTGACCAATGTTTATTATATTTCACTAATGATAATATATATTTGCTAACTGCGTCATAGCAATTATTTTTCAATTGTTTATGTTTATCTCTATTATTATTATTGTTTTTATTATCAATATTGTTATTATTGTTACTGATATCATTACTATTATCTTTACTACTATTACCATTATTGTTATCAATAAAGATCTTCTCGTAAGATTGATTTAATCTTTTTCTTTTATTTACATTTTTAATACCATTTTCTAATTCTCATTGTTTTACAATTTTACAGTGATAGTTCCATATATATGTTCTTATATATTCTTTGAAAGTTACCATTGTCTCTTCAAAAATTTTTGATACTTCTCTTTTGTTTTGTAATTGTAAGGATACTTTGTTGTATAATGAATTGGGGATGCGTCCAAAGATGATGTCAAGAAATGATAATTCGTTTTTGTTATAATTCTTTTCATCTTCGGACCACTTTAGTTCACTTAATCTATTAATTTTGTCTTTGAGTTTGTCTGATTTTGTTTTCTTTTTAGCTGTTTTATTAAATTGATCAATTAAAATACTAACAAATTTATCTTTGCACATTTGTATATCTATTAAATTTGAATTGCATGTGAAAACATGTATTTGATCTTCAGTAGTATTATCATTACATCGTATGCATTTATTATTTTTATATATCTTTGGGTATCTTTTGTACATATATTCCATTGTAGGTAATTTATTGTTGAGCAATTTCATATTAAAAGCTCTTTCTCTGTTTTCTTTGTTATTTGTTGTGGATTTTGCTTTATATGATAATGCTATGGTATTCCACGTGATCTCCCAATTAATATTTTGACTTTTGTAATCTGATATTGAGCTACTATTCCTATTTAACAATCTCCAATTAACTGTAGATTTTGTTGTACCTAGTTTTTTCACAAATCTTCGAAAAGGACCTCTATGTCAATGTTTTTCCAACATCCAGTTGCATTAACTAACGTTAGTTTTCCAATTTTGGGTGTACATATTGATTTATGAATTCCCTCTTTAGCCATTTCATCTGCTCATTCGTTAAAAGTCACTCCAGAGTGTGCTTGCACATTATATAAGTATAAATTAATGTTATGGACTTGTGTTAGTTCAATAATTGACTGAATTAACTGCCAATTTTTCGTTTTTCGAAATAATTTCTTCTTGTTTATAATGCCACTATTAATAGCTACTATTGAGGCCTAACTGTCTGTATATATATTTAATTTTGTGTTTCTTGGCGTAGCATATACCGCTGATAGAATTCCCATTAGTTCAGCTCGAGTGGATAACATGAAATTTTCAACCTGATCACAAAATTGGTGTTTAATCTATTCTTCAACTATAATAACCTAACCACAACCTATCAAGGGGTCTTCATTATTATCGGTTAATATACTTAGAGAACCATCTGTATATATATCAATTTCTCTATAGTTATTTATATTTATCCTGATCTCATCTAGTTCTTTCTGTATTGTCTCCTCCATCCAAAAATTATTGTATTTTAGATGTAGACGTGAGAATTCAGTTCTTGAATTTTTAATATGTATCTCCGGTATGCGTAATACTTGTATGTCATTATTCTTTTGTATTGCATTTAATTTATTATTTTTGATATTATTAAGTTCATCTAAGATGGTTTCATTTTCTGATCTTAGACGAATTTTGTTATCTCTAGTTGGTGTGTCTTTAGTTGATACTTGACTTTTAATTACGTTGATATTAACAGATTGTGCTACATCCATTTTGATTAGACATATCTCATTATTTTTGAAGTTACTTGATAATGATTTATCTTTATAAGTGTACCCTTTGCATTTACTGAGTGGGAATTTCTCTGTCCCATTTGGTGAGAATTCGTTTATATAGTGAATCATAGTAAATTCACTCACATTTATGATCTTTTTTTTCTTACCCAGAATCAGTTGTAGGGTATTATTATCTTGTATTGGTAACCAGCTGATCTCTTTACTTTTTTTATCGATGTTCCAGTTGCATGCGTTATATTTATATTTCATATTATTGAAGTTGTTATTGGAAATGATGCTTCTATCGTTATTATTTAGTAGAAGTATTCTTTCGACAAGCTTAAACCATCCTGGTTTTGGTCCCTTTCTCACACTATCTTTGATAGCTTGCCAGTGTAATAGTTTATGGCCATTAAATGATAAGATCTGTTCCACAAATAACAGTTTTCGCTTACGTAGGCTCCGTCTGTATTGACCATAACAATCAAATTCTTTTATTAATTCTTCAATGGTGGTTTTGCCTCCTTTAATCAACAAACTTTCTTTCATGTCATCTGATAGTTTAAAGGTTATTTCATTTTGTTTGCATATTATTAAAACCTCATTGAGGAATGAATAACCTCTTTTAAGCTTGATTATATCCAATGTTTCAGTTATCACATTACCTGACCAGAACATGTTTTGTAGTTGTTGTAACCTAATACGTGTTGTTAAGTCTAATATCCCCTTATCATTAATACGATTTAGTAGATTGTTACTCTGCATTCGTACTTGTCTATTCCAAAGGTAGCACACTCCGTATACTTCTTTTACATAAATTAAAGCATTAGGTGATGTGCGTGCCAAACATGCTTTATTTTTGATTACCGCTATAAATCTGGATGTTATTTTATTACACTCCTTTTCTGTGAGCGTCATGTCATTTAATTTATATTCTAGCATTGGGATAACTACCGTGTTAAAGATATATATTGCTTGTTTATCTGTGATTTGTTTTTCTCTTAGAATGGTTGCCATGTAGTCTACCGTTTTTTTCATATACTCCTTTTGGAATTTTTTTGATCCACTCTCAGTTACAAATACTCCCAACGAGTGAACAGGGGTATTACTGTTGATTGGTTTTAGGTTATTGTGGCCCATATTGACACCCATGTTCCTATCTACTTTTTCGGCATTGATTGCTATTAGGTATGATTTTGACTTATTGATTTCAATATCATTTATTGTATAAAACTCATTAGCGATATCCAGTATTTTTTCCATTTTTTTCCTGTTAGGAGCGAACCAATTTGTATCATCTACGTATACTGCAACTGCTAACTCACAGCTAATATTCGCTTGTGTTTTGTGATACAGATTGTTTATCCAGTTCTCTTTCATTGTATAACCCAATTTTGACTTTGCCATGCAGTTTATTAGTGGGTTATAAAAAATTCTCCACATTAATGGTGAAATGATGTCCCCCTGATCGATACCATCCTCCACTTTATATGACTCGGTATTTCCATGTGCCGTTATCACTTTATTTTCCCTATTTTTTAGTAGTCTCGACATAAGATCTATAAATTTTTTAGGTATTTTGATATGACGTAGTGCCAAAATTAAGCAGTCTGAATTTACTGAGTCGAATATCTTGTTCATGTCCTGAAACATAAGCCATAATTCTTTATTATTAGTGCGAGCATCTTCCATGATATTGTTTATGATGTGTATAGGCCCTTGTGTATCATTTCCCAGTAAGCCAGCATAATTATGTTCTGATAGAATTTCTCGTTTCTCAAAAATAGCTGATAATCTGTTATTTATGATTTTCATAAAAATTTTTCTATCTGTCTCTAATAATGTAATTGGTCTTGTGATATTTAAATTGTTACCCCACTTAGCAGTTTTGGGTATTGGATAAATATAGCCTTTTTTCTACTCTTTAGGGATATCATTTAATAGTAGTATGTAGTTTACTATATTTTGAAAAATATCTAAACCTTTTTGTAGGAGGTTTTTAAACCATTTATACTGAAGATTGGATTGCCCCAGCACTTTGTTATTTGGTAGAGATTGAATTACTATCTCTAATTTGTCTAATTTGACCTTATTATATAGGGTGTCATACCATGAATTGTTGATCTCTTTAAGTGGTGTGTATTCAGACTCCTATTTTTTGAATAACTCGGCATCCGTGGTTCTTTTTCTCATCCAATTGTGAAAATGTTCTTTTACCAGTTCTTTAATTTCACTACCTTCTATGATTATAATTGTATTGTTATCTGATATCTCTTTTACAATTCGATCCATTACTATTGATTTACGTGGTTTATCTAATATGCTACTTATTATATACTTCGGATTATCTTTTAGATCTTCCCATTTTTTTTCAATTGCTTTTTGTATTTGTTTTATTATTTCACTTTTTTCTTTTGCTTTGGCAATTTTTTGATGAACTAGACTTTCCGCTTTTAGCTCTTCTCGTATTTCAAAATTATTTGTATTGTTTCTGCTAAAGATTTTTTCCATGCTATAATTTAGCATGTTCAGTTTTCTTTCTTCTTTTTTAAAAGTTTCACTGTTTTTAATTGTTTTAATTGATTTTGCTTGTTCCATGTTAAATAGTTTATATACCTTATTTAATGATTTTGCAATGCGAAATTCTTTGATTATATTTGGAGTCAAAGATCTCTTTTTTTTTCCATTTATATTTTAGTATAATTTGATCTGCTGCTTTTATCATTATATTTTTGAGTGTTAACCAACTTTTATTTAGGGTATTATAACTCTTTTTCTGGTGATTAATGTCATTGAAAAATTTTGACGACTCAACCTCTACATTTACCAACTCTGCAAATTTTAGCCATTGTTTCTTATCCATCAGCTTCATATTATATTTAGGTCCGTTAGAGTAAATTTCCTCATCTTTTTCTTTTATTTGCCACTTTTTCAACATTTTCACACCTAAGAGTTTATGGTCACTACTTGTTATTAACTTAATGTCGTCTAAGAAACATGACGTAATTTTATCACTCCATCTGTGTGATATCCAAATTGCGTCAATTCTACTTTCCTCATTTGAGTTATCTCTTTTCCATGTATACCCTGTGTTTTCTGGAAACATTATTCTAAAGCAATCAATTAGATCATGACTACTTAGCAGTGGAAAGATTTCACTTTCTGGAAATTGTGAGTAACTATTGTTATTTCGATCTATTGCCGGTGACGGTACTGCATTAAAATCTTCCATCACGATAACTTTTTCCTTTTTCCTTTGAGCTTCATTTAATTGAATTTTAATCGAGTTAATTACATTAACTTTGTCACTTTTTTTACTTGGTAGATAAATTTGCATTACGCAGATTGTCATTTTTTTTGGAAGAACTAGATCTACGCAAATTGCTCTACTCTTATATTCTCTTTTTTTACAATCATACTTATTTAGTGTTTTTGAAATTATTAAAGCTACTCCAGTTCCTTTTCCGTTACCCAAACAGTGGATACGAAATTTATCCTTATTGTCTTTATACCACTGCCCCTTGTTTTTACCACAATTTGTTTCTGCTATACCCACTATGTCGAACTGTTCATTTTTGATATAATTAAAAAATAGATTTCATTTAACTGTATCATTGAATCCTCGTACGTTATGCGTATACGTGTTGCCCAAATCCCAAATTATTTGGGATTTGGGACGCCAAAATCCCAAATTACTAGTATTTGGGATTTG